TATTAAACTGTTCAGATATACCGAAATATGTAGTTAAAAGTCTAGAGCTCAACATTTTAGAAGCACAAAAATCTGCAAAGTTCACAATTCAAATAAAATATATGTACATTGTTATCATGTGTAAAAAAATGTATGCTGCTTAATTTTCACTATGTCACAGCAAATGCGCCAGTAGCCTAAATTTATAAAAATTAAAAATAAAATTAATACAAGATAAGCAGTAAATGTAAAAAGTGTCATTTTAATATTGTGTTAGCAATTCACAAACATTCTATGCAATTGTCAATTAAACGCAATGTCAATAAATGGAATCCATGTCTTTTCAGTGTTAATCTTAATTGTAGTAAAAAGTAGTAGTACTGGAGCTATACCATATACGTTTGTTAAAAATTACTCGCGCATAATAATCCTATTTGCAAAAAATTTATTTTAATTTCTCCTGAACAATTTATTAATTATCTGAATTATTTAATATGCGTTCTGGCTGAAGCAGTTAAAAAAAAACATAAATAATTTTTTATAATTCACAATCTTATCTTGAAGCATGTGCTAAAATTTCCTTATTAAAAACGTACTTTTTTTTGTTTTCTTTTTTTTTTTACATGCTTTAATACTTACAAGCGTAAACATACGTGCATATATCAACATTTTTAATAATTCACATATTTCACAAAATTTATTTTTAAATTAACAAAAAAAAAATCTTGTTATTTTAAATAGCAAGTAAGTCGATTCGAAAATATTATTAAAGATGTGTGCACGCTAAGTATAACAAAATTTTTAAATTTCGTCTGCAATTACGTTAGTCCTTGCAAGCTATGCAGAAGCGATAGTTACTGCATGGTTCCTAAGAGAAATTTTTTCATGTTTTCATATAATTTCATATTTGAAATGAAAATTGTAATTTTGTCAATACAATTTACTTTATTTTTTTGAGAGCTTTCAAGATTTTATAGAAGAATTTTCTATTAAGTCTGCTTTAAGAAGTTCAAGTAGAATCAATATTAATTTCACATAATTACTGAATTGTGCATTAATATCGTATTACTGCTATTTAAGGTCATCAGAATCATGCACTAAAAATAATAAAAGTAAAATATGTGAAATATCCCCAGTTAAGGTATTGTTCTAAGAATCTATTCTACATAATTCAGCAATTAGAACTCGTATATTGAATAATGTATACGAGTTGTATCAATAACATGTTTATGCAAATTTTCAAATGAGCCGGTGATAGACAAACAGCCAAACAGATCAACAGCCTAAGAAACAGAAAGAAAGACAAATTATATTGCTTAAAATGTATAACATTTTATTTCTGAAACGCCGTACTTACTCCAGTAGTAAATGTATTTTCGTTGAAAAGTCAATTGGTGAATTTGTTGCAATAAAAATAAAGATTGTAAGTCAGTGTTAATATTAATATTATTTATACAATTTACAAGAGTTATAAACTATCCATGGGAAAGCATAAAAGTACCCATTATTTGTGTAAGGGGACAAAAACAGAAAAAAAAAATTAAAAAAAAAAAAAACTAAAAATCATTAGGAAATTTATCATTTGTTTCCTTTTTTAGTAGTACACTACTACTTGTAATAATGTCTATTTTTCTTATGTCCGACATCTCTATCCATTAAATATTTATAATAATATCTCAATTGGAAAAAGCAAAAAAAAAAATAAAATAAATTTTCTTTAACTATTATAAAATTATAATAATATTAGTGGGAATCTTGCCTTTTTTTTTGTGTTTCTTTGAAAAAATTCCAAATGAAAGAAAAAGTATAAAATAAAGATGCTTTAACAATTATTACAGTTTCCGCGGTAAAATAATACTTGGATAAATATCGTCGTTACACGCTTAATGTTCGCATTACAATGAAAATCGTTAAAATCGGTGTAAGTTTTGTATTTTTTTTAACTATAAAAATAAAAAAATAAAACTTAAATCAAAAATTTATAATATTTGAAATAAAAAAATATTTTGTTTTTTAATTCTAAGTCAGAATGAAAACAAGGAACAACAATATTTCTAATAAAATTATGGAAAAAAAAAATTAAATATTTTGAATAAAAAAATAAAAATAAAAAAAAATTTTTTTAGTGGCAAACATAATTTTAATTAATTAAAAAACAATTTAGTTTTTTAAAACAACTACTTAGTTTTTTATATACTTACATTATAAATTTTCTGTAAATTTAAATTTAACAATTTTAATATGAAATATATGTACATTAAAATATGATCCAAAAGATTCTCTCCTACCATTGAAACATGAAAAATTTGATAAAAATTAAAAAAGCCTTTTTTAAGGAAGAAAAGTTTATTTAAAAATATTTTTTCGATTGTACAGTGAAATTTTAATTTTTAAGAATAGAAAAGGGAATTTTCGATAATTTACAGATTTTAATAGAAAATACGTTATGCGATATCTGCAAATATACTGCAATGTTCGAAAACGACACTTGTTCTTATGATTCTAAAAGAGTTCTTTTATAGCTACTGCAAACATATTATAAATTAAAACAGGAGCATAATAGAAAAATGTTGGAAATTGAAGAATTACTCGAATTGTGTTCCAAATTTTACAAATAGTAAATATTTCAGTTCAGTTCCTGCAGATTCTTAAGTGTATGAAAAAACGTTTAAGATTTAATTTACAATATAACTTTCAGTGCATATCTGAATTATCGAAAATCCTCAAAAAAAATTCTTGTGAAATTTATATTCAAAGGACATTAAAAATTAAAATCAAAAAACATTAAAGTTAAAACATGAAAAGTGCCTCTTTTTGTATCACACTACCATATAAATTTTGTTGAATATTTTTACTTTAATATTATTATTAAAATTGTGATTATTAAAAATATTAACATGAAAACAGTTATTATAATATGATTTATAATAATTTTAATGCGTATTAAATTTTAATATTTAACCCTTTTCTGCTAACATTAAGAGTAACACAAACACCCGCTCGTTGAAATGATTAACAAAAATACCATTTAGGAAATATGTAATACATACATACATTGGTTTCAAATTGATTTCAGTACAGTATTTATATACGTAATTTAATATTGTACAAATATAATTACGTTGACAATGGAATAAACGAAATCATAGCAATAATTCTTGTTTCTGTGGTACTATACTAGCTTTTAAGCAACTAATATGCATTCAAGACTGACATTTAAATTTTTTACAAAAATAACCAATTTTTTTTGTTACATTAAAACTAAAATTTTATTTACAAAGGGGCCACTACCAAAAAGCTAACATAAAATTGACTTATTCAGTAATTAAAACATTATTGCTTAATAAGTTAACGTTAGATCTGAATTTTTTGTACACACCCAAATTATCTATTATCAGAACTTCTTATAACTTCTTATAATTTCGCGTGTTATGAAAAAGTTAAGAGTTACGACAATATTTTTCAATTCAGCCTTTATAAAACGAGTCCAATACTATCATTATAATTTATAATCCTTTTAATATTAGCAGATATTCAAAATTAATTTTGCACAGCAATACGGTATCAGTACACAATACAGCAGCAACTAAAACTAGTAGGAACTTTCATAAGAAATACCCCAAATATTTATGATCAAAAGATTTTACAGAAGGGAAAAAATTCACTTCGTTTAAAAAAAGAATCATGTCAATTTCCAAAGCAAAATAATTAAATTTAGCCTATATGTACTAACTTATATTTCTGAAAAAAGTGGGATACATTATATGCTCGAAACGTGAGAAAGGCTCCAGTTCAATGAAAATTTGCATTTTTGTTTAACATCATTAGTTTAAGTATTTATACTTAAATTTTCGTATTCATAGCTAAAAACTTAAAAATAATAAACAATTTATTAAGTCAAAGATCCTTCAATCTACACCTCCCTCCGTGATTTAAAAATCATGGTTATAGGGTGTTAATATTTAATTCAAAAATTACAACTCACAAACTGTATTGTGTTTTTGTGCCGTACTGCCACAAGTCAGAGAATATTTTATTTTATGTTGTTATTAAATTCAACCTTCAATTTTTTATAGCTAAATCATAGTTTAAAATGTAATGAAGTAAAATTATACTGCAATCTGAATGACAGAAAGTTTTCTATATGTTATAGGCAAGCTTGAAAATGAATTTTACGAGTCCTTTTGTATACCTGTACTTTGACAAAATTTAATCCACACAGTAAGCATTTATACCATCTACACATTTTCCTGCAGTACGGTCATATATTGTAAAATTTTTGTAAATAGGACATAGGACATACAGTAATTTAATTTGCATTATTATTGATTGACGAAAATTCCTAACTTTAAAATTACATACAATAAAACCGTCTTGTCACAAAACTCAACTATTATAATTCATTTGCTGAATTATGTATTAATACCGGAATTACTGTAATTTCCAAGTCAAGAGTATTTTACGTTTGTGACACCATATTTATTTCTTGTGATTTTAGGACAGAACCAAATTTTTAGTCGCAAGCAAGATCTAAGGAATTTCAATGATGTATGTATAAGGTTTTTATGTAGTTTTTAGTTACAATTTAAAGTGTTCAAAGTTGCCAGAATTCATACAAGAATACTAGAAGTGTACAAAGTTGCTACTAAATATAGAATTACTAATTGCAAATTGAACATAGGGAACATTTTTGTTCTAGCAAGATGCAAATAAAAGCTGCGTCATTTATACTAAATTTTCTGCATTGAAATTCTCATGGCGTATGTTTTTAAATCAGATATTCTGAAGCCAATATTTTTATATTCATTTATATTGTATTGCATATAGGGTATAAATAGATTATTGAATGTATTTTTTTATGATTTGATCAGAATTTGAATACAAAAATCCTCTATTTATAATGTATTTCTAATTTTACATTATAACCTTATAGCTTATATGGTTTTTGGTATGACGTAGTGCACAACTCAAGGACGCGCTAATTTGTTTTAAAATTATTTAAGACCGTTTACTAGATCGGCATGACTAAACTGATAAATCTAAACCAAATGCGGTCACTTAAGTCTGTTTTAAATGCGCTTGGACCAGGTCATATATTACTGTTAAATATCAATTTCGATTACAAAAATCAAATTCGATATGCTTTTGTGCTCCCGATGTAGTAAGACTTATTGGATAGTTGGATCAAAATTTGAATTTATTTTTATTAAAATCGTCTGCTTAATTTAACACTTCATAAATTGTTTCATAAAAGGATTACATATCTTTCAACTCGATTCAGACGAGATTTACATGAACAGAATATTGATGATATTTTGGTCAATTTCATTAAAAAAATAACTTTTTTTTTATTTAATTAAAAACTTACCTTAAAAAATTTTATTAACCATTTGAATTTTTATCTTTTAGTTAACATTCACCTTCTTCTGTTTGGTAGAAGTAACGCATAGTTTAAGTTCAGTACAAAATGCTAATATATCAGATACATCAGATCCGAAACAAGCAAAACGTGATCTTAGTATCAGTTATTCCGCGGCTGATATTGGCTCTAAAGAAGGTACTCATATAAAGACAATAACAGTAATAAAGAATATCGTTGGTAAAAAAGACAAGCAAATTAAAGTTGATCCAAAACAACATAAAGATGAAAATTGGGGTTCCATTATACGAGATAATTTTGACGAATATGGTAAAATCCCAGAAATACCAGATATTGATGAACTTATTGGTTACAAAAAACATAAAAAAACAAACGAAGCATCAGATAAAGAAAAACCAATGGAGGAGAAGAAAGTAATTAAAGAGAAAAGTCCTGAAATGAAAATGAAATCTGATGAAAAAACCGACAACGCGGAGTCTAATGGTGAAGCTGTAGCTGAATCTGATAAAAAAGAAGTAATTGAAAAAATTCCGGGAGATGTTGAACTAATAAATACTGAAACTGCTAACTTACAACTAAGATCTCAATCTTTACCACAATTTTCTGGACAAAATAATATAACAGTCTTAAAACGAAAAGTTGAAATACAAGGATTACCCGAAATTACAAAATATTTAACGCAGTACTCAACACCACAGCATAGTGTAAGGCAGTATTTCTTTCAAGGTGATAAAAAATTAAATTTAAAGGATGGTTTAAAAAAATCGGCAAAAATTATTGTTCAACCATGTGATAGAGCTTATCCAGCATATTCAAAAGATGGTTATCCAATTTTAACAGGTTAGAAATTCATTTTTTTTTTATTTAAAAATGAGAATATCATTTAAGTTCTATTATATTATCTAAGTAGTTTATTCATTTTTCATCATAGCAATTTTTAACATTAACAAATGTTTTAATGATCAGTTTTAAGACTTTAATAATAAATTAACAGGAAAATTTTATAATACAAGATAATATAATATCAATAGTAATATTTTCAGGTATTACAATTAACAATGGTGACAATTCTGGAAGTGTGGTTAAGGTTACAACCCCATCTGGACGAACTTATGATGTACCATTGCCAACAACAACAAGCAAACCTCCGTACATTGCTCCAAGTTTAAAAAAAACTAATAACTTTAATAGTAGTAGTGATAGTAATAATAATAGTAATAACATAAATAACAATATAAATATAGGAAGGCCAGCATTTAATTTTAATAACTTTTTGGGAACTCAACCAGTTAATATACCTGTTAATCAACCTGTTGAAATACCAATTAATAATCCAGATCCAACTACAGCCGCTCCTCCACCAACAAATGCAACTACTTTATTCCCAGCAAACATACCATTTGGTGTCCTACCAAATCAACAACAACCAATAAATTTAATACCAGGAATTCCTGGCGTCAATCAAGGCTATAATCCAAATTATAACCAAGGATACAATCCTGGGTATAATCATGGTTATAATCAAGGATATAATCCATTATATAAAGGTTATAACCCTCACGGTAATGTGCCCAATTACGGCTTCGTAAATAATAATCAACAACCAGGAAATAATCAGTTCGGTATACAAGGAAATAATCCTTTATATCAACAACCAGCAAATCAACAGCCAATCAACCAACAACCAGTTAATCAACAGCCAATTAACCAAGATACTTCAGCAGTTACTTTTCCAAATTTAGCAGATAGTATTCTAAATAATAATAATTTAATAGTGCAGCAGAATTACAATAATAAACAATTTATACCACCAAGTAATACAACAGATCCAAATAATGGTTTTTCAATTACAAATACTAATAACTACAATAATCCTGGATCAGGAGGTTATACTTCATTTGTTCCCACATCAAATAAAATTAAATATGCTATACCATATACGAATTTACCAAAAAGATCAAATAATGAAAATTTTGTACCTAAGCAAAAAGGTAGATCTAGAGGTTTAAGATATTAGAGGTAAGTAAATATGTAGAGGGAATTTTGTATAAAATTATAAAAATCTTTCAATTTATTTTATAATGTTTAATTGAAATTTAGTAAATTTAATGAGTTACAGTAAATTATTAAAATGTTAACATTAAAAAAGTTAAATGGAAATCAATATTTAACTTTCAGTTTAATTTTAAATTGCAGGTTTCTTAAAAAAAATTAACGCACTAATCTCAACGTCCAAACACCGAATGATCTTCATACATTAAACTCCATTGCAAATTAAAACCATTTAGCTCAATAGCAAAATATGAACTATATTGTGTATCTGTTACTTAGAATATAAATGATCATTAGATAAGTATTTTACAAATATATACAAATTATTAAAGTATTTATACAAATTTGTATTGTTGAGATACAAATAAAATAAAAAAACTAAAATATGCTTTATGATAGCATTCAAAATTTCAAAATTAATTGGCTTTTATCATTTTCTATAAAATTTTTCTGAATTATTGTAAACAGTCGCTTTCTATATGGTACAATTTTCCAACAAATCAAATAAATTTTATCATTGTTCTGATTTATTTCCAAAATATTGTTAATTCCATTCAACCACCACCAAAAAAAAAAAAATAAAAGAATTTTAAGAGTATTTTTTTTCGTAATAAACTCGAAACTATTTTCAGATTTTCCAAAATGCTACGTTTAAATTTGATTTTAAGAACTAAACACTTAAACAACAGTAGATTAAAAATTTCACAAGTTTTTTTTGTAATAAATGTATAACTTTTGCTAAATTTATTCAAAATCTTAAAATTTATTTACTTGCGTAAGCTTTGACAAGATTCTTAATTTAAACTGAACTTCGAAAGTGATACATCTAATAGTAGTAATGAGTGAAATCAAAATTTCATTGAGCAACAAAATAAACTGCAATTTCTATTAATTTATTGTGTTACTTAAAATGCTTCTTCATTCAAAACTTTAATTAAACTAAATTATTATTGCGTAATAAACTGAAACGAAATAGTGAACATAAAATTAGGTTGCATTTTTAATCAACTTTCAAATAAAAATTCCAATTATGAGTTTTCTATGCATATACAATCCATATATTACAAAAATATTAAGCTCAAGAATAATTGAAAAGTTTTCATGCTGAATGTTCTAGATTCCATCTTTAATACTAATTTTGTCTGTCCAAAAAATTTTTAAATTCAATTTTCTTAAAAGTCTCATTTACACATGAGGATTCAACAAAAAATCTAGATGTTCGTAAACTTGTGGACTTGCAATTCGGAAATGAACTTGTGGACTTGCATCATTATTATCAAACATATTTGTTAAAATAAAGAACACTATTCGATAGCAACTGTTTTTAATTCATTTGAACTGCAAATAAAATTTCAATAGACAGTAACAGTAACATCAAAAACTTCCACATAAATTTTTAATAGTGATTATGAATTCTTATTATATTTTTGCTATCGCAATATTTAAGTTACGTTGAATTTTTGATTTCACTCATTAATTTTTCCTCCTTATAATCAAATTGTCAAAAACTTGCATTACTACATATCATAGAACTAAAAAATTAAATAAAAAAAATATAATAATTAATATAAAATAATAAAAATTTAAATTTATGTTATAATGAAAGTTAATATTACATTTACATAATTTTCTTACACAGAAAAATAATTTTGAATAAAAAAATCTTATTTACGATTCAGCTGTGCTTTTATTTAAAATTAGTATTCAGTTTTTTTTTTAAATGTAAGTTAAATATTAGACCTTTGGTGATTGCACTTTTAGTAGTATAAGTTGTACTAGAATAACTTTTATTATATAATTATTTTTGAATTTGTTCACTATTGTTTTTATTATTAATCTTAAATTGAAAATAAAATTAACTTAAAAATAAAGTTTTTTTTTAATTGTACAAAATAAAATTCGAAATATAGAAAATAATAATAAAAAGAAAAAGAAACCTTTTGAATTAATACTTACCTATATTCAGATTCCGCATTCTCTGACTATCCTTCATTAATATTATTTATAATTATTTAATTTATTAAAATCCATAAATTCAAAAATGAATTTCTTTTTATCTTTAGTAAATAAAAGAAATATCACTGTTATATTTTTTAGAAAATTATCCTCTTTCTTTGAAAAAATTTTTGACATAAAAATAAATAACAAATATTAATTTAAATATTAATAGAATTGCATACACAATTTTAGTAATAAATATTAAAAACTATTAATACCTAATAATAAATTCTCAATTTACATTTAAGTGGTATTTGGAAAATTTATGAACGAATAGTTTTTTCTATATAATTTTATAAACGCTTATACGTTCACCCAAATCAAGGCAAAGCACGTCATACTACTAAAAAAAAAGCTGTTCTAAAGTCGGCTGAGGAATTTAAGCTTCATTGGATTTTCAGTTAATTTGTTTTTGTTTTATAGTTTAATTAAATTAAACTTAATTTTAACTTTAAAATTTTTATTTAAAATTGTCCAAAAATTTTTCAATATTATCAAAAACAAATAATTTCTAGTACATTTTGTTCCGATGAGTTGAGGCTGTCGAAAAACTATGGTTCATTATTTTTCCTAATTAATGAACTGTAACATCTTTTTAAACACAAACATCATAATAAGCAATTATAAGAATTCGGTAGATATTATATTATGTAAATGCATGGGTGCTCATTTATTTTCGGATATTATAAATTTTCTTTTTCTTTTTCCAAAATATGACAATTATTTTTTAATATTTCCATAAAAAAGGATACATAGGTTACTAGAAAATTGTTGAAAGTATTAAGTAGTTTAGTTCTAATATGTTTTTACGGGATCATCAGTTAGAATTTTCGAAGGCATTATTGAATTTCTTGTAGGGTTCTCAGTATAATATACTTTTTGTAACACGAATTATATATGTATTTTACGTTATTTCAATTATGCCGTTGTCCCTCTATATTTTTTAATTAGTTGCCTTCTTTTTTCATGAACTACCTTTCAAATATCAAGTTAATCCAATCCTATGTCGTTTATTTTTTCAAAAGATTTCATATTAAATATCATTTTGCATTTTCAGGAAATTATATTACCAACTCATTTTAAAAGCACTACACATTTTTAATCTATAATACTTATATAGATGACACCCAAAAAAAAAAGTAATACATATGACTTCGCAATCCAGCAACCAATTTTTACAAGCTGAACTATATAATATCACTCAATTTAGATATATGAAATTATTTATGAACTTGTTATTGAATAGAATAAACACAGGTATATTTAAAAACGTGATGGAACGTTAAATTTATAAATTTAAAATATATACCCAACATATGAAAATAAAACTTACAATTAAATGATAATTTAATTATACAATATTAGTAAATAGATATTTACTTTGAAAAAAACTTCATATCCATAATTTAAATATGAAGGAAAACTCATATTGTTTCATATGAGTTCTGCCTAAATATGAAAATTTTGACAAAATGTCATCAAAAGAAAATCATTATTTTCCCCAAACTCATATAAACATTTTGTAACTTAAAAAAATTACTTTAATTTCTTAATCAATTTTAAAATGTTTACTCACAAACTCATTATACAAGTAGGAATCAGTAGGATATTGGTATTTTTCAGGATTTCAATTTTGTATTGAATTCTTAAAGTCATGTCAAGTGCATTTTTGGCATATTAGCGTTCGAAAAAGCATTAAAAAGCCTTTGAAAAAATCCTAAAAATTTACATTTGAGAAAAAAACCTTTAACATGATAAAATATTGAAAATCAAAAACGGAACAAGCGTTCTGAGGCAATTTTGTTTAATAAACCTCAGACAGGAACAGAAATAAAACAATTTTAACTTTTAATAAAATGCTAGAGTAAAACACTCCCAAATAAACTAGGCTTAACAGAGTAGCTGAAAGCAGATTTCGCGAACATTCATATCTGTACAATATACTCAGGAGGATCCAGTAGAAAGTAACACTTTTTTTAAGAAATCTTTAATATTTATGTTTATCCTTTAAACAGATACTTAAGACATTACTTAAAGAACATGTTTTAATTTATTTACATACGTATATGTTATATGTTAAGTAAATTAAGAAAAATTCTTGAGTTACATTTGAATTCCAATTTTTAAAATTTGGCATAAAAGTGAATTACATATTATTTAATCTAGAATAACCAAGTATTTCAAAGTAAAACTATTGTTGGATTTCGTATTTTTACAGGACACAAATTGGATATTCTTAAATAAAACAAGTTTTCTTAGACTGAATATGACTTTTTCATATGAAAACCCCAAATTCTTTTATAATGATATAGTGCCGATTCTTTTTCGGAACAGACACAAAAATAATATTTTATGTTATATTAATAACATCAACGCAATTTTTATCTTTTTTTTTTTGTATCAATAAACTTGTTTAACAAACTTCACCAGGTAAGTATTTCATTGTTCTAAGTTGAATAAAATTTCCAGTGCAACTACATTCCCTTTTAACAAAGGATTGTTGTGGGCATAAAATTACAAGAAATTGTGCATACAAATATCTTAGCAAAAATTCTGTTCAATAAATTCAATACCTTTTGGGACGACGGAACGTATTCGCACTTATATGGAGGAATCCCCATCACTGGTATGTATAACACATACATTTAAAGTAGCATACACATTTAGGTACATATACTATAGTTTTCTTAAATGATTGTTTGCATACATCCATATTGTCCTTACATTTGATTTATCAACTGCAATTTAATGTAATCTTAATGCATAAAATACATTTTTACACAAAATTGAAATAATTGTAATTTATGCTCATAATAATAAATCAATATTTTGTAATTGCTAATGGAATAGTATTTATATCATATATGTATGTATGTATTATAATAGAATATATTTTTATGTTATAGATATATGTATATACATTTATATATAGAGATGTATGAAATAATGCATGTTGGTACACTAACTCTATATGTACCTACATTTGTACATACTTATAAAATTTTAAGGTGGGAACCAATTGCGTTGTGGAAAAAAAAAACTTTCAAATTACATAACTTTCCTTTAAAATTTCATGAACCAAAATATTCTTAATTATTTATAAAAATATTCTTAAGACAAATAATGTAGCTAATTTCACTTCAAAACGAAAAATGATGAAAACAAAAATTTTCCCACCGAAAAATCTTTTGCATTCAGTCGCCATTACAAAAATTAAAAATGCCTACTATGTATGTAGTACGAACTTCTCAGCAACTTACCTTTCAAAGCTTAAAACAATTCAAAAATTTATCCACTATTTTCTAGATTAAGAAAATATTCCAATTTATTGTTTTATATATTAGTATATTCATTAATTTTTTTTAATATAATAATTTAAATAATATATAACTTGAAAAAAAAATTATTTTACTTTTTCAATTCGCGGCCATTATATCTTATACTTGTAAAACGCAAAAGTGAAAATGATCAAGTGACTGTGACAGTGTGACACAAAGAATGAAAATTGTAGATGCCAAATGTCATTTTGATTTGACTTCGAAGGAAAATACGACGCTCATCAAAAACTGACGTCAAAAGTCAATAGAATAGCAGCCACGGCTGACAGCAATTCTTTTAAACTTTGACAGCTTTTATTGGTTACCCAGCATTTACACATACAAGTTACTTGCATGCAAGTTTGTATAATATTAATTGTCAATTAGTTTTTCGAAATGTCAAATTACTTGCTATTATGACGTAGGCGTTTAGCAAGTTAATTTTTGAAAATGTCTTTGAGAAGAAAACAACTAGCTAAGTTTGCTAAGTTTAATTTTTTCAAAACAAAATTCAAAAATTTTAAATTAAAAAAAAAAAAAAAAATCAAAGCAACAAATTTTTTTTTGTGAATTTCTCAATATGTCGAATTACTTGCTCAAATTACTGGCAGCAAAATTTTCTTGCAAGTTGAACTGCAAGTAAACAAGCAAGTAGAAATATTTCAATGTGTTAGTAAAATTTTTGTATGTATTGCAACTTTCTTGCAAGTAACTTGTACGTGTAAATGCTGGGTTATACCAAGATAACAGAAAATAAAAAAGGGCTATAAAAAGAGTAAAGAAATTTCAAACCTAAAAAACTAAAAAGAAGAGTCGACAACGAAACGAAATGAATTTTAAGTTTTAATAAATTTTTTTTTTATACTAGTACAAATTAATTAACAACTTTAATATAGATTAACATCATGTTTAATAAATTTTGATATACTTGCTTACTAAAAATAAAACACAAATCCATTTTTTTTTATAGTTTATGGTAAACACATTTTACTATGCATAATTCAAACTACTACTGAAAAAAAAAATGAAAACCCAACACTAATCAGCTTGTCACATTTGTTTGGCGGGAAGAGGTAATGATTATGAAGTTAAAAAAAATTGTTTTTACTTTTTCCTCTCGATTTTTTTTTTTTGCAATGTAATGTCATGTCACATGTAAAAACAAAACAAATTTTCAGCATCACAAAATCCATCGAATTAAATATAGCCGAAACAAATGGAAGCGGATGGTAATATAATTCGAGATGATGAGGATATTGAAGAAAATATAGTTACTCACACCATATACCGCGACATATTACCTAAAATATCTGCTTCCTCTAATGTGGCAGGAAATGCATTACTAAAGCCTAGATTAAAATTTGATAAAAATTATCAAAATGTTATTCCACTGCTTGTAAAAGATGTTGTGAATTTGAAACTTGATGAAAATAATTTTGGGAAAAATCTTTACGCTTACGGTATACAATTTGGAGCTGTTATGTTATATGGGATTTGCACACCCAAGGTTTTTTTTTTTTTTAATTCGATTCTTTGGAATAAAAATGTGTTTTATTTAAGGGTTGTGATTTTAAATCAACAAAGCTGAAATATACATTGGATGATGGTACCGGAGAAATCAATATTAAGCATGCTATTGCTGCCAATAAAAAAATTAAAGAAAAAGTTTCATGTCTGAGGGAAGAGTTCGAAATAAATATGAGGAAAACACGAAAAAATCATAAATATAGCGATGAAATTAATCAAAGTTTAAATAATTTATTAAAAAAGACTGAAGAAAACATTAATATTCCGGAGACACACTATAAGGCTGGTTCTAGAATTTGTGTAGTTGGAATCCCATATAAAATCTATAATGAAGTTTGGATACATGCCAAACAAATTGATTTAGATCACCATCAATGTAGGGATAAAGAAATTCTTTATAAGGAACACTTGATAAGATTTTATAATCGATATAGTAGAAATTTTAAATTAGACGGTAGCTCTATCGATTCAATCATTAATTAAATATTTTTATTTAAAATTATATTTAGAATTTTAATTATTATTTAATAAAAGGAAATAATCATACAAGAAAAAAGTTTCACTTCATTCAATTTATTTATTCAAATAAAACAATTTTCAGAGTTTGTCAAAGTAATATCGAAAATTTTTGAAGTATAATAATTCATTTTGTATAATACGAGTACAATATTTATGTATATTTGTTCTTTTTTTTAGTTTTTGTTAATTCTTTTTTTAAATTTGGCAAACCCTTTTATGTTATTTTTTTTTTTTTTGTTATAACTACAATTCATAATTTTTTCATCTTAAAAACTATGCAAAGAACTAAAATAATTCAAATTCATTTATTACTTGTTACCTTTAACGACTTTAGTTTCTTATTTTTGTAATCAAATTAAGAAAAATATACATTTATGTATTTCGTTTTAAATGAATTTAACCAATTTATAATTGAACAATGTTTCGGAAGTTTACATTACAACAAAAAAAAAAAAAACGATTTTACCTATTGCATGAAAAACAAAATATATTTGAATTAAAAATTTTAAAATTATTAGTTGTTTCGAGATAATTCTAACTATAATATTTACTTAAATAACATTTAATTTGAAAACGTTTTATTTTAATTTAAAGTTAATATAATCATAAAACCAAAATGAAAAATAAAACTTTTTAATGAACTTTAAATATTTTTTTTTAATATAATTTTTTTCTTTAAGTTTAAAATAATTATAATAATGCAACAAGATGAACACACAATAGGGATTTTTTTTTCCTTTTTTAAATTTCTATTTAGTAGTTTACATTTTTTAATAATTTTTATTATAATTTTTTTATAATAATGGAAAATATAATACATATTTAAAGTATTTATTTTTGTTTTAGTTTAAATTTATTTCTAATAATATATAATTTACCCAAGATATTCATATTTTCATCTAAAAACGTATTTAAATTAATTTAATGAGATTGAATACCAACTACAGAAATTATTTTTGTCTTTATTTTATATGTATATGGGTTCTTTCTATTATTATATAAATATACACACATTACTTTGTTTTTTTTTTTTTAAATATGAACAAATCAAATTTTTAATATATAAAATAATATTTCATGTTGTAATATGTTATTTTATATGTACAAAATATAAATTAGATTTTATTTTACAAAATCGTGTTTATATTTCAAACATGAATAACTATACAATACATAGTTATTTTATGAGCGGAAAATCTTTATTGAATGAAAATTATGTTAAAAATTAGAATGTTCTATTATATTATGATTTTGTAGTTTAAAATATTATTTTACAATAATTATTGTTTTTCTATATTAAAATCTTAATTAATTTCCTACAGTTTTGTTTTATTTTGCTATTGTTCCTGCATAATTCTAAGCTCATAAAATAACAATAAAATAATATGTATGTATGTATTTGAAAATAGATTTTTGATAGATAAAAAAGTTTTTGTTTATTATTCTTTTGAGCATGAATTCCTAAATCAATATTTAATTCAATTTTTTTACATTTGATAAAATTTAAACATTAAAATATATCTAAATTCGCACCCCAAAAAACAATGATGTAATATGAATTTATCATATACCGATACAAATTTTTTATTTTTTTTTTCTTGATAATATGTATTAATTTTTCATTAATCCCTTAATTTAATTAAAATAAGTATTTGTATTTTTTGTATTTTTCCTTTTTTTTAGATTTAGAAAGAAAACTTGTTTTTATTTTCAAAAATAGATTATCTTAGACTATGTAATTTTCTTTATGTAGTAGCATACTGCAATATGTACATAACAACTTTATACAAAATTTATTGTGAATTAAGCAATTATAATTATTGTTTACAAATTATTCAATTAGATGAATTTTAGATTTCTTTAATGTTTTATACTCTATATTTATAGCATTAAATCAAAACGGTCAGAAATAGTGATTCTTATATAATAATAATATAATTTTTTGCACCAAATAAAAAATGACAAGAAATCCTTTTTTTTATATATTATACCTATGATAACCTTTTAATTAAAGTTTCTCCAAATATCTAATAAATTTTATTGCAAAAAACACAAAACCAACAAAAAAAAAATATAATACTAAAACTATTCATTTAAAAAAAAAAAATGTTTTGATTTACTCATTTATTAAATATTATTAAAAATTAATGAAATGAAAACGTAAAAATTAGAATTTAATATTTGTTTAAATTTATTCTAAATTAAGATAAATTTTTTTTAATTATTTATTAATTTTTTAATTCATAACTTGTTACACGTTAGCCTAATTTTTTTTTTTTGTTTTCTGCAAAAAGAAATTTTTTAACAAATTAATTTTTCAAATGGATGTTATTGTAAAATTACTTAAATAGAGTTATTTAAAAGGGAAAGGAAAATTCAACCCAATAAAAATTTTCGAAGCTGTTAGCATTGCATTCTAACTATTGTTATACTGAGCTCTACGTTCCAATATTTCACGGTATTCATTAAAATTCATCTAAAAAGTTAATTCGAAGTTAAAAATTTTTACCAAAAAAAAAAAGTTTAAATAATATATAATAGTGAATATTATTTAAAAAAAATTTTCATAAATTCACTCTTTGAAAATTTATGGTTTTTAACATAAAAATTTGTAAAAAATAAAGAAACACTTACATGAATTTCTTGGGAAGTATAACGAGTCAACTTAATTGATTTACGTAATTCAGGTGTAATTGTTGAACGATAGCCACCTTTTCTAAGTAAAGAATCAATTGTTTGAATTTGGTCCCAACCTGTAAAGCGTAGACAATACAGAATAAATAATATATGTTAACAAATTTTCATACAATTATGTATTTATTTCAAATATATTATGTATTATGATATACCTTGTTCGGTTGCAACCTGTGGCAAATAAGTAGCAGTCCGTTTACATCCTCGCTCATTAATAAATTCTATTCGTATTCCATGAACACCTAATGTCCAATCTAAGTAACCACGTGCTTCTTCGAAACCCTAATTTAAAAACAAAAAATTGTTTTAAATTTTATAAAAAAAAGGTTTTTTTTAATTATTTTATTTTTGTTTTTTTTTTTTAAATATAAATATTTATAATTTGAACCTGTAGGATGGAAACAGATACTGTCAGTCTTGGAAATTCATTACGTGTTATTGGAGAAAAACGAGAATCCTTTAAAGCGCTTGATAAAGCATATTCTCTCAAGCCTGTAAAATAAAATTATTTATTCAAAATAAAATTTGTTGGAAAATTTAGCAGTATTTGAAATATACCTGCGTGAAGTTGCATTGCACTAAAAGTTCCTATACAACCACGTAACCTTTTATCACGGCCTATTTTCCATGTAACAAATAGTGGGCTATAAAAAACAAATACATCATTTTTCCAAAATATATAAATAGGTATTTAAAACTAAAAAATAAAATTTTAATTTAAAAAATTAAAATTTTTTCTAACTTACTGTGGATCGTTAGTAAATTGAGGATCAGCTGGACCATCAATATTATTTAGTTCACAATACAATACTTCAAAACAAAAGAAGCACATTTCAGGTATAGCTATTTGATCATTTAATTTATGATATCCATTTAACATTCTTGAACTATGTCCATTCATATGCGAATAATTAGTAACTGATTGTTGACCTTCATCATGATTATTACGGTGGTGATATCCATTATGATGTTGATAACCGGACATTTTGCTTTTTTCTTGTTTGTTCCTCTATCGACCGTTTGTTGTTAATTTTAGTTTGGTAAAAATCAATTTATTTCTATTTATGTAATTAGCCAAGCTATTTCAAAATTATTTTTAATTGAGTTCAGGTAATTTATATTTTAAAAATGCAGGCAATTAAATTTGATTTGATATGAAATATGAAGTCTTTAACTTTCTCTTTTTATTTACGGAAGGAAGGCAACAGCAGTTATCATACCTTGAATGTGTAATATATGCTATAGATACATTTTTTTACATTGAAAAAATTTCCTTCTTCTAAAAATCTTCTATTCTTAGTATTTGACAAATTATTCTGCTTTAAACGGAATGGATGCAATAATTTATGCCGTTAGAAAATTATTTTTAAAGAAAATAATAAGAAAATTAGAATTTTATTTATATTTTCCTTCTTAAAAATCCAGCTGATGATTATACATTTTTTCGATGTATTTATTCGTGCAGCATTTACTATAAAAGAATCCAACTAAAGTTTCTTTTAAAATACTTTCTATTAACTAGACTCAAAAACTTCATATCAATTACTAATTTTTATTATTTTATATTTATTTTTAACATTTACTTAATAAAAATTTGTATTGTCTATTATTAAACTAAACCTCTTTACAAATTTTTTTTCTCAGCCATCACATAAAATATTATCAACTGATCCCTGATTTATGACATTCTTATGCTAACACTGAGTTTCTTAAAATTTAAACGTCAAATTACTGTCATTGCATTCCCATGAGTCGAATTTGGACTATTTAAGTGGATTTCCACTCATTGTCAAAAAATACTATTACATCCGAACAATGTGCCGATTTCCACTATCGATTTTGATGTATCTATGTAAGTTTTTTTTTAATAAAACAAAAACTATTAACAGAACTGTACTCATTTCTGAACATATGTGTTTTCACTTCCGCCTGCACACCAAATTTTATATTTTTTTTATCTCAAAAAACTAGATGAACAAAATGAGACCATATTTTGCATATTTTCAGAATTTTTATTTATGAAATAAAACTTTATTTTATTATTAATAATTAAACCAATTGTCAAAAAATTACAAACTGAAAAAATAGGGATATCTTTTGCAAATTGTATTTTTAAAATTTCTTATAAAGTTTTTGGTTGGTACTTTTTGAATTGATATAATTTGTGAAAAAATTATAAATTAAAAAAATTAAGGATTTTTTGTATCCACGAAAAATTAAAGGAAAATGTATTTTGAAGTAAATTTATCAAGGCTGAACACAAATGCAGTTTTCCTTGCGGCGACAAATCAGTTTATTTAAATTGCAGCCGGTTAATTCGGTTATTTATTTGCAATATTTTTTAATGCAAAAGAGGGAAATACAAGTATTTAGTAGAATTAATTTTATTTACATATATTATATTAAAATTTTCTTGAACGAAAACGAATTCATTTTAATTAAACTTTTTTTTGATATTATACGTTTATTGAAATGTCTGTTTTGAAATGTGTATTATTTTTTTGAATATCTGCTATGAAATTTGAAAAATTTAAATATTAACACTTGACAGCTGTAATAAAATATCGATTTTGACACTCCGAAAAATAATGTTGTCATTGCAGATTCAGAGTGAAATTCACAATGAGAGTGTATAACAAAAGTTTAAAGTACGAAGGAATTGTTCACTGAGTATTATTAATTATTAGCAAAATTTGTGCAAATGTGTGTAATGGGTCGGTTTGGTATAAAACCCTTACACTCACTTTTGGATTACAAGTGTGAAACTTTGAAAGTTTTGAAAAAGAAATTATTGTTGATGAAAAATTTTTCTTTGAAAAATAAATTCTTTTGACATAACCAAGAACATCAACTGCAAGATTTCAAAGGTTTTTTTTGAAACTAAATTTTACTTTACAAAACTTGAAAAAAATTAAACATTGAGAAAAGAAAAACGTAATCATTATTTGTTAAAAAGTATCATGTCAGACCCTTTGCAATAAAAAACTTTATAAAGATTTTTTAAGTTTTATAAAGTTTTTAAAAACTTTCTTATATCTGACAGATCTAATATATATATATATATATATAATTTGTCAATTTTTTAATAACCCCGCTCAACCCAAACGTCAAATCCTATATGTCAAACTTAGCCAACGTCAATGTCCTCTCTATGAAAACGAGTACAAGACTACAAGTTTCAATTTCTAGAAAATCTGATGCAATATCTAAAATTCGATTATTTGGTGAAATTCGGTAAAAAAAATTAATAAAAAATAAATTTATAATATGGCTGAAGAAGATGCAGTAAGTAATTTTCAACATTTTACTATCTAATTTGATATTTTTATATATAATTTTGCCACATAAATATCAAAAAATTTTTAGGTTAAAATGTGCTCTTAATAAAAAAACTTGTCTCTATTATTATTTAAAAAAATATTTTTAGATATTTGATCCAACTTTGGTGAAAAAAAAGAAAAAAAAGAAGACCGCCTTCGATTTAGATGCTGCTTTAGGTTTAGAAGACAGCTCTAACACAAATGTTGCCGAAAATGCTAACACAAACGAAGAATCATTGGAAACGGGTGGTTTTGGTGGAAATGAGCTTGACGATAATTTAGATTTAGAAAACTTTGGTAAAAAGAAAAAGAAAAAAAAGAAGACTTTTAATTTAGACGATTTGGATAATGCTTTACCGACAAATGATACGAATGCAAATGATGGTGTAAACGAAGGTGCTGTCGATGATGTTAATCTTGAGGAGGATGTTGATCTAGATATGGACTTTTCAAAAACAAAAAAGAAGAAAAAGAAAAAGAAGGATCTAGATGAGCTGGTCTCAGAGAAGCAAGAAGATGAGAAATCCGATGAAAAAGAAAATGGTAAGTAATACTAAATAAAATCTTATTTCTTGTTTTAAATTAATGCACCTTAAAAAATAATTAAAAATAAGCATATGTGTGAATAAATTAAATTTGTCATTACATGCCTAACCGATACGGATTTAAATGTTTGCGAATTTGGTAAACATTTTTCAAATTAAATATAATTAAAGCATAAAAGCAAATTATTTCAATGTCCTAAAATATTCAATATTGTCTTTTTAGTTGACGAAAATAGTTCAACATGGGCGGGATCTGATCGGGATTATACATATGAGGAATTATTAAATCGTGTTTTTGAAATTATATTGGATAAAAATCCGGACATGGCAGGTGGTCGAAAACCAAAATTTGTTATGCGGCCTCCACAGGTATTGCGTGTTGGTACAAAAAAGACCTCATTTGCAAATTTTACAGATATTTGCAAAACCTTGCATCGTCAGCCTAAGCATTTATTAGATTTTTTACTGGCTGAATTGGGTACTAGCGGTTCAATGGATGGTAACCAACAGTTAATAATTAAAGGTCGTTTTCAACCGAAGCAAATTGAAAATGTTTTACGAAGATATATCAAAGAATATGTTACCTGCCACACATGTCGTTCTCCCGAAACTATTCTTCAAAAAGATACACGTTTATTCTTCTTACAGTGTGAATCTTGCGGATCTAGATGTTCAGTAGCAAGTATAAAATCTGGTTTTCAAGCTGTTACAAGCAAGCGTGCCGCCATTCGTGCGAAAACGGCTTGAATCTTTTAATTTTTTCTTTTGTTTGAAATCTTTAAAATCAAAAAAAGAATTAATAAATTTGAGAATCAATATTTCGAAGTCCACAATAGCTATTTTAGATTCATACTTTTATTTTTTCTTCAGTCTAGCTCAATGAAATTGTCTCAAAAACAATTTATAACATTATTGTTATATGATTACATTAAATTATAGTATTGGAATAATTTCTTATTACTTATGATATTTTATTTTGTAATAGAAGTAAATTAAGAAAATTGTTATAATACATACTTTGTATCTATGAACATTTTTAAAACCTAAAATAAAGAACTTTGAGATCATACTTGATAAAATATATCAATATAATGAATGACTTTAATATTTTTGAAGATATTTAAAAAACAACACTTTTTAGTTAGGTAGGTACCTATATTTTTTATTTTCTATGATTGCTACATAATTAATCGCTTTTCAAGTTACGAGCCTTTGTATTACTCTTTTATTTCAGTTCTCGTTTTGTTAACAACTGGTACGATTTTCTTGTCCTATTTGAAAAAGAAATCGGATTTTGCTCTATATATTTTGCACACGTTGTTGTGTAATTAAAGTATCTTGATCATATTTTTCTGATAATTTTTCTAATTTTTCTTGAAGTGAATAATATTGCTTCATTTCCAAATAAGTTATATACATTGCAACTAGCATGCTAACTATAGCAGAACCAGCTATAAAACCACTCAATGGTTTAGAAAATTTTGCAATTAATTTAAAAACTTCTTTTGGTTGTTCTGTTATTGAAGGTAATCTGTATGTGTAATGTCTTGTCGCAAACATTAATGTTGCAAATGGTGCTATAACTGCTGGATAAATAGTACCTAACCCGACTTGAAAACCAGCCGCACGCATTTGAATACAAACGGGACACATTTCACTTTGTAAAATAATAGATTTTTGTATAGAAACTTTATGATTGATTGTTGAAAATAATGCAGGTAAAATAACAATAGGCAAGTAAGTTGAAAATTTTCCATAATTTCCTAGTTTTAGTTTAGTTCTAAAGTGCTTATTAATGTAGATTCCTGCAAAATATATTTTAAAATTTATAAGTAATGAAATTATATTAATTGTGTAACAACCTGATAAGCCTCCAATAGCTCCTAGAACACCTGGTCCGAATCTTAAAGCCCATCTAATAAATTATATATCTATTATTTCAGAATTCTTGTAAAATATATATTTGTATTAAAAATTTTAAATATCATACACTTCTGATAGTTTGTCCCAATTATGTATAAGTTTAAGTTGATAATTATATGCTTGCTCTTGAGATATTATGACAGCATCTTCTGGAAGCTCTTCAAATTTTTTTTTGAGAAAAGCCATTAAAAAATAAAAAAATAAATTCTAATTTCAAATTGTAAACATTAAGTGAAATAGTATCTAAATATTCATTTCACGTTACTACACTTTAAAGGTTATAATATATTTTTGTTTTCATAAAATCTGTCAATTAGCCATCTATAGTTGAAATAGAAAAAGTTTATTTAATTTGATTTTGAAATGTAAATTTAATTCAAAATAGTTAAACATTAAAAATTTTCGTAAAAATAAAGAATTTTTTTAAAAAAATTTAAGTATTTATTTAAAATTTGTTAAAATAAATCATGTATTTCAAAATTAATAATATTATTTTATAAAATTCGTAGATATTTATTTCCTATAATATTTTTTACAAAAATTTTTTTCACCACTACTGTACTATTTATGAATTATTTTATCTGTCTTTTTGTTTGACACATAATTAAAAGTCAACAAATACATCTCTCAAATTTTTCAATATACATTTTGAACGAAGAGAGTGCATCACATCAAAAAAATAATATAATCAAATATTTTTTTTCTTTTAAAAAATTACACGTTTATTTTTTTGAAAAAATGCATAAAAAATTAATATTTTTCATGTTATTATACAATTAATCCACAAATTGTGTTGAAAATGTTATGTGATTAAATGTAATTTATTAAAAAAAAAAAACTATCATAATGAGAATAAAATAGATTTTCTGTGTTTGTTTGCCCTTTTTTGTTTTTTCTGTTTTTTTTTTTTTTTTTTTGTAAAAAGAAAGCAAATTGAACAGCAAGAAGAAAAACAATTTTTTATTAAAAATGGATCGATTTCAGAATAAAGCAATGTGTTTTATACCACCAACAACAACAAATCAAAATAATCAAAATAATTTTAATAATAGTGATTTTAATTTAAATATTGAAATAAAACAAGAAATTCCTGATATCGATTTTGAGGAAGAAAAAATTGAAGATACCACCACATACGATGATGGTTATCACTCAAAATGCGGTGAAATATATATAAGTAATATAAATAAGGAATTCTCCTTTTATTGTAGTTTGTGCAATGCAAATTTTATAAATTTTAATTTATTTTCACGTCATATTTTATATGGAAATCATGGAACTCAATTATCCTTTTTGAATAATAATAATAATATTAATAATATTAACAATAACAATAATAATAATAATCAACTACTGCAATTTAATAGAGGAAAAGATATTAAATCAATTAATAGAAATACTTTTCAACAATCTAATATAAATGATATCCCAAATATATCATCACCTACGGTATCATTTAATTCAAGAAATTTTCTAGATATTGATAATACAAGATCAAATCGTATTTTTCATGAATCAATAGACTTTAAACCAGATAATATTGGTAAGTTTTTATTTTGAATAATTATAAAAAAAAAAAAAGCAATTATTTTTATGAAAAAATAAGTAGGTATCTACCTATAAATTAAATATGAATATTTATTTTAAGTGATTTAAGTTTATTTATTTACATCTATACGTAGGTAACTTACTATATTACTAATATGTAGGTAACTTACTCGCCCTATACAAGAAAATTATATTTAAAATATTAATGTTTGAATAAGATTTAATACTTAATATGTATAGTGTTTAAATTTTCCTCAATTAAGTAGTTTAAACAATTTTAACCAATTTATATATAAAAATCATTGATTTATTTATTATTTTTTAAATCCAGTTCGGCATATTCGGCAATAATACCCACCCAAATTCGTAAATTCCTCTCAAACTTGGTTAACTAAACTACATAATTAATATAACTATAATGGATATTATTACCTAATTTTATTTTAAATATGTAGTTAGGATTTCTAAACATGCATTTATTAAATTTCTAAACATAATTTATAAATTTGATACATGCATTTATGCATGTGAAAAAAAAATAATACATTTATAATAGTATTTATTGTTTATTTTTTCTTCTTATTTCAATTTACAAGCAAGAATTAAATTTTATATTGTATTTTGTATACATACATATCTGCAAATAATGTAGGTGAGTCCAATCTACCATTTTCTAATTATGCCATAATCTAGTCGCTATTAAATCCTAAAGAAAATAAATTTAATAAATGAAAATTTGAACAATGTATCTGGAATTGGATAGGTGCTTACATATCTATCTATCTATATATTAACGAACCAATTTATTTTTCGATTTGAATAGAATATTGTATAAATGTGCACTAATACAAATGCAGTTTGTATTAAATGTATATTAATATACTACATTGAAAATTAAATTTAATATGTATAATAGTAAGATATAATGTACCTAAAAACTTATTTATTTTTAAATTAATAATTTATCCTATATTTTTCAATTTTTATCTTAACATTATTAAATTTTTTAACTTTCATCAATATCATTTAATACAAAGAATTTTAATATATAGATTTGAATGAAATTATTGCTCCAGTTTTTCTGACATAACTACATAATACTCGCAAATACAAAAATCTGAAGCTAGGGAACATAATATACTTTCTAATATGTACATATTATGTATACCTACTATATATAATTTTATTTACTAATTTGTTCAAAAACCTAAACTAAATAATTATGTATTTGTTAAAAATAAATAATTTAATAATTTTTTCTCCCTAAATAAAATTATACATAATATGCGTTATAATAAATTTATGATAGAACTGATAAATACATAATACTTTAACAAAATTTAATAAAGATGATGAAAATTTATAGACCCTGCTAATATTTAAAAATTTATCTTTGATTTTAGATTATAAAATTTGGCAAAATATAAAAAGGCTTTTTTACAAATATTAAATTGAACACAATTAAATTTCAAGTTAGTAGTAGTGTATTCTATACGTGTAAGTTGCTATAATTATTTATTATTTCTATTTCTATAGATAAACATCTACCTATATACATATGTATATATCGAAATTAAGCATAGCTGCCTCACATGCGAGAATATGCGGTTTGCGTTTTGCAGATAAAAATTTTGTATAATATTCTAATATCTAATTTTACTTAAATTTTTATCTTGTATATGAAATACATTGCGTATTGTTCCTTTGGTCCAATAATAATAATATCTTAAAGTTTAACTAGGTAGGTACATAATTCATCTACTAGCTTTTGTATCATGTACGTAGGTGCATTATGGCAAAAACTGTATTCATTTAAACTTTTTATCAATATATTTTTGCAAAGATATACTTTGTATATAAATATAAAGATAAGTTTTTTTACACAAAATACTATTAGATAATTATTTTTCATATAGAAAATAATTTAGTGTGAATTAAATAAATATTTTTTATTTATTTTACAGAAAATATCAAAAATGATTTGGAGCCAGCAAAATGTCGCATATGTTTTAAAGCCTTTCAGTCAAACCGTGACTTAAGAGCCCATTTTCAAATATGTCATACGAGCGATAGGCAACCAAATTTATACAAACAAACACAATGTGAAAAAAAATCGAATTCAAATCCTTTAAACAACGTAGTTTCGGTTGCAACATTTTCACTAGCTGTCTGTTCGACACCAAGTAATAATCAGAATTCTAATCTTGGCAGATCTGAAAATTTTTCTCGTGAAAATAGAGAGTTCGGTAGAATAAAAAATGCTCCTGAAAATATTCGTGTTAAATCATTTTCAAGTTTAAAGCAGGACACAGATCCTTTATCACTTACTCCATCATTGTTGTCAGCTACAAATCAAGACAAAACAACACCTAGATTTGCTTCGAAAGCAACAACGCCACTTATAATATCCAAAACTAAGGGCACTTATTCATCTTCCAATAAATATACAGGATCTGCAATTACTCATGATACGCAGAAAGTTTCAATTATAAAAGCATCAGCAACTATTGCTGAGATAGCTAATAATGAAAGTAATGAAGATGCAAACTCTAGCGGTGGGTCTGATCAATTACCTGGACATTGTCCTTATTGCCCAGTAAAATTTCAAAAGATGAAGTATATTAATTTTCACTTACAAAAGTATCATCCTGAAAAAATACAAGAAAACGAAAACAATATAAAACAGTCAGAAAACTGTTATCAATGTGAAATGTGCAATAAACTTTTTAGAAGGCTAGATTTTTATAAAAAACATATGAGGAAACATCCAAGAAATAGACAAAAATTCCGTACCAGTAAAGTTTCCGAACCACTTTTAAATGAAAATGAAAAGGATCAAAATGAAAAAATCATTAAAATGTCTGCTGAAATTGTAAAGGAAAAAAATGAAGTTAATTTTTCAGAAATCAATGAAGTTATTCCAAGCAATTCAAATTCTGAGTCTGGCAAAATAACTGAAAAACCAACTGAAACAGTAGAGCACACAGAAATCAAGTGTAGAACACGAAAAAGACTGAAATGCCAATATTGTGGTAAAAGTTTTTTGAAACTAAATCACCTACTATTACACGAGCGAAAGCATAAGCCAAACTGTTCGGTTAAATGTCGTGTTTGTGAAGAAAGATACTGTTTTAGAGCCGCTTATGATAATCATATGAAACAAATTCATCCAGATACAGAATATCAGCTAAATGATAACGAAATTAAAATTTTAACATGGCCAAAACTCTCAGTGTCAGATTTGAATTCCACAAAATGTGACGATTTTATTTTACCGGAGGAAGAAATGGAAACTTCAGTGATAAATAAAAAAAATTGTAGGTTTTGCCCTAAAATTTTCAAAACTGTTGAATATCGAATATTGCATGAAAAAGCACATACTGGAACTGGAAATTTCACTTGTAAATATTGTGAACAGAAGTTCAATTCTATTGGTACTATGTGGTCACATCAGAGAAATTGTCCAAAAAAATTTGAGGAAAGCAATCAAGCTTCTGAATTTTGGCAAAATTATGAAAATCGGTTGCGTACAGCACAAGTAGAAAACGAAATAACAAAAAAAAGTAACGAAACGGAACTCGTTCAACCTTGTGCTGAAATTTCAAAAGTAAATTTTGAAAATAAGGAATTAAAATCGTGTTTTAAATGCACATATTGTAAAAGACTTTTTAGAAGTAAGTATTGAATTAAGATATTTATTAACTTAACTAATTTATTGATTTTTTACTTAACTAATTTTTTAGGGAAAGCTAACTGGTTACACCATGTACGAAAACATACTGGAGAAAAATTTGAATGCAATATTTGTGATTATAAGACAACCAGTCCATTTTACTTGAAATCACATATCATGAAAATACATGATTATAGTAAAGCCACCAAAAATACTGTGCAGGATCTGAGGAAAGATCCAACAAGCGAGGCAAACCTTAACACTGCAATTGAAGCAGCAACGAAAACATCATTGTTTAAATCGAAATTGCTTTTACAAACTCTAGCTAAATTTGACTCTATTACGTCTGAAGAAAAGACAGAAAGCTTCAAACGTCTAAAACTATTTAAATGTAAATTCTGTAATGAAGTGTACACTAAAAAACATAATCTCGAAGAACATTTAAGAGTACATCTCAAAAGTAAACAAATCAGTATTTTTGATTTATACAAATGTAAATATTGTAATTTACGTTATAAAGTAAAATATCAGGCTTTATTACATGAGAAGAAACATCGCAAACAGAAGTTAGTTGAATGCAACTTATGCGCAAAGAGTTTCAATAAATATTACATTCATTACCACAAAAAGATTCATCATGATTCCAGAATAAAGCTATCACATCCCCCCAAGTTATTGAAAGACATTGATGGAAAAGAAAAAGAAGAGACAAAAACAGAAAATATACTAGTATTTGAATGTAATATTTGCAAAAAGAAACTCGATTCCGCTGACTTACTTAAGATACACGTCAATATTGACCATAAAGAATCGGAAAGTACAAGCGAAAATCCTTGCAGCAAAGTGCCATTGTTACTGTCTGTAAAGTCGGAGGAATCGGTTACACCTTTGTCGGAACAAATTACAAACTCAGAAGAAGTAGAGGGAAATTGGACCAAAAAGGAAAAATGCAAAATATGCGCCGAAATTTTTGATTATCATTACTTAGCTACACATATGAGAACTCATACTGTTGACAATAAGCCATTTAAATGTGATGTTTGTCCTCGTACTTTTAGATTTAAAAGTAGTTTGATACGACATTCAATAACTGTTCACACCAAAAAGAAAAAAGAAAAGAAAAATAATATGGATGTTAGCACACTATCTGGAAAGGAGTCCCTTTCCTCATCAGCAATAAGTTCAGCTCCTGTAAAAAAATCTAAAAAAATTACAATACGTACATTAATTAAGGACAAAAAAATACCAGTTGTAAATGGACCACCCTTTAAATGTCCCCATGAGGGTTGTCGGAAATTTTTTGGAAGGCGACTGGGGTTCAATAAACATTACTTATTACATTTGGACACTTTTAAATGCAAATTTTGTAATCGCTGCTTTCAGACAAGAAAAGTTCTTCAAAAGCATATAAATTTTCACACCGAAAAATTGCCATATAAGTGTAAAATATGCTCCAAAGCATTCCCAGTTAAGCACGCACTAATTTGGCACAAACGTAGAAATAATTGTGAAAACCCCTTGGCTGAGGAATCTAAAGTTTCATACGATTGTGAGCGCTGTATGAAGTCTTTTATAACAAAATCTACGCTTAGGCAACACATATTAGAAAACACGTGCGAATTCACGAAAAACGAAGCTAAAATTGCGACAGTGCCAAGCGAAGTACAAATCTCAGTAAAAGAAGAAAATGTAACGATTGTTGAAACAAAACTAAAATGCGAGAGTTGTGGTGAAGTTTTTTTGAATTCATGTGATTTATCTATACACTGTAAAAAAGCAAATTGTGTTCCTAAAGCTATAACTACTGCGTTATCAGATTTGAAAGAAGACAAAAAACCTGCAACAATGAATCTGCCAACTGAAACTTGTGATGTTGTGCAGAAGATTCCTCCAAAATGTAAATGCGAACTTTGTTTTAAGGCTTTTGATACTAAAATCGCGTTATCATGGCATAAGCGTAGAAGAGTTTGTGAAGTACCAAGTGACTTTTTGTGTGAATATAGGGTAGATGAGTCGAAAGAAACCGAAAATAAAAGTGTAGTAGTTCACAAGACCGAAAAATTAGAAGGAATTCAAGAAACAAAATTAGAAAAGGAAACCCAAAATGAAGAGCTACATTGTGAAACAGCAGAGGAGATCAAAAAGGAGCAGTACCAATGTGAAGTCTGTTTCAAAGTTTTCGTTGTTAAAGGATTTTTGCTAAGACATATGAAATATTATCATCCACCTTTGGTAGAAAAAGATGTTGTAGAAATTAATAATGAAACTGAAATTAATGAGAACGAGAATGAAAATGGGGTTGAAAGTGAAGAAAATTCGAATAGAAGATCTACTCGCAAAAAAGTAGAAAGTGAGACCACTAAATTTCAGTGTCAAATATGTTTAAAGAAATTTGAAACAAAAGGCCTTCTAGCTGGTCATACTAGAACGAAAGCTTGTTTTAAATCTAGCAGTTGCATGTCTACATTGAGGGCTCAAAAGCATCCAATAAAGGATGGCGCAAATGCTGTTAATAAATGTAATCTTTGCAATAAAGTATTTGCTAATGAAGGTTTTCTAACCTTTCATGTGCGAAATCAAATATGTATTCTTAAGAAAGATTACATAAAAATCCAGCCTGATTTACAAAATTTAAATGAAGAGAATTTATTGAATAAATCAGATTACCAATTAGATGCGCATTTAAATAAAGAGCCTGTACTTCACACAATTACGGAACTGAAAGCAAATCAAATTCCAGAAAGTTTAAGTGTTCCAGAATCTAAAATAGAAAGTAAAAAACGTTTTACTTGTAAAAGGTGCAATAAAATTTTTTCTACCAAGGTTGAATTAGCTTGGCACACTAGGAGAAGAGAATGTTTTTATAAACGAAAAAAATACAAATTAAAAACCGGACTTAGCGTAAATCAACACGCATCCAAGATTAGAAAAAAGCTAATTGATGGTATTGTCAGTTTTCGCAAGATTAGTACAGAGCGAAAAATTTTGCAAAAGAAAGTTTATAAGGCAGCAATTCAAGTTTATAAAAAGAACAAAAGCGTTGCCGATATGGCGAATAAATATCATATATCTAAAACCGTAATATACAAACGAATCAATGCCCTCAAAGAATTGAATGTAGTTCCTGTTGATTCCAATAAAACTAACCTGATGAAAGTAGAAAATTTTAACACAGATTTAGCAAATTTAGAAAAGCAGGAGAACGGAGGAAATGATAAAGAAGCTGAAAAAGCCAATGTAGAGCCTGACATTGGTGCAATTGCCACCGATACCAATAAGGTATTACCAAAAATTGATTTGACCGTTCTTCGTAATGAAAAAGATAAAAACATGGTAAGAGCAATTCGAAATTATGTCAGAGATAGAAAAAAAGGTCGTAAACTTCCGCAAAGATTTTATTGTGACAGATATCAAATTCGGAAAATCCATTTTTACAGAAAATTGTTTAAATTAGGTTTAGTAAGAAAAAAAGGGCCACAAAAGCGAGATTCGGATAACATTTCGGCAATTCAGGAAACTCAACGTAGTTTTAACATCCCAAAAATTGAAGTAGAAAAGCAAATACTGCAAGAACAAGGAACTCCTCCAATTGCAATTTCTTCTCAAACAACTAGTATTGTGAACATAAGTGAACAACCTCATAAAGGAAAAAGAGGTAGGTTACCTAAATGTTCAGAAGAAACAGTTAGAAAAGCTGTAATGGAATATAGAATGGGGAAAGGCACGCAATTGCAATTATGTGAAAAATATAATGTGGGCATATGCGCATTTCATCGAATGAAAAAAATATTGCTAAATGAACTTCCCAATTTGGAGTCTCAACTAGAAAAGAAAGAAGAAGTACAAGAAACGCAAATAAATGATGATGCAAAAGTGGAACCAACGCCCATTGTTGACTCTACATCTTCCGCAAGTAAAACTTTAGATGTTAACATATCAGAAAATATCAGTCACTCAGCGGATGAACCTTCACTTAAATCTCAACTTTATGAGGAGTTCAAAATTCATAAACCTAAACGTAAAGTTAAAATGATGAATACAGAAGATCTTAAAAGGAGACGACAGGCGGTTATGGACGTTTGTGGAGATTTAATGGTTAACCGAAAATCTAAATATAATATACCCGGAACTAAAGAAAATGTTATTTTAATGGATGCAATAGGTGACGTTGTACATGGTATTAGATCCTTTTCAAATGCCGTGAAACATTATAAAATATCATTTTACACTTTGCAAAGATATTTGGACAAATATAATGAAAGAATCAAAAACAAAAAAAAAACTGTTACATTTCAGGAAGGGTCAGATCCTGGAAAAAATACTTCCGTCGAAAACGAAAATAGGCTTTCTTGTACGACAGATAACAATAATGAAAATAAAACTGAAAATCCTACTGAAAACATCAACGAAAATCCAATGAAAAAAGAAGACACCATTTCATCTTCCTCTTCTTCATCGTCTTCTTCGTCAACTTCATCACATTCATCAACAGAAAGTTATAGCAGTGATTCGACTGATTCTGATTCTGATACTGATACCACGAGTGAAAATAACGAAAATATAAATGTAAAGAAAACTAATGATCCTACAGGGAAAAATATAATTCCAAATATATCAAGTAGTTTAAAACAACAGCAAAGAATTGTCTTTGATCCAACTACAGGACAATACATTGTCAAGAAAAAATATGAAGGAAGAGGTGGAAAAGGAAAAATCCGGCAAACTGTTTATTCTAAACCAGGAACAAAGGAAAATACAGTTTTAATGGCAGCTATCAATGAGATAAGGACAAAAGGAGAAAGTATTGGTTATGTTGCCAAAAAGTTCCAAATTTCTATACAAACTGTAAACAAATACATAAATCTATTTGAAAAGCAAGGCATTATTCCCAAGTTTACTGGTCAAAGAGCAAACGAATTGGAATTTGTGCGGGATAACAATAATTTGGCATCAACTATAGATTCAGAACCCAAAAGTATTGAGAAAACTGAAGTTCAAATACAGTGTACAAATCCCATAATCAATACAAATCCACCCATAGCTGGAAATACTTTGAATGAAAATACATCTAAAGAAGAAATTAAAAATACTGGAAGCGGCAATTTAGCTAATATTCTAAAATTCCCGGAAATTCATCCAGTTGTTGAAAAAGATTGTTTAAATCAAAACAACAATGTGAAACATTTAGAACATTGTTTCCCAACACCTAATATTGGAAGTCAATTGAATATCAATGTTTCACTTCAGAAAAATGTTGCTATAGATTTGACAGGAGGAAATAAAACTGAAGTTGAACAAAATGTTTTAAAAGAGAATTCTATTAGTTGCACTAAAAATGAAATGGAAAATATTAAAGATCTGATAAGAAAACCAATTTACATAACTCAAAAAATGTCGTCTGTCCAAAATACAGCAGTTGATAGTACGAATGATAAAATCATTGTAGGTGGATTATTAACAAAACCAGTTGAAAATTTACAAAAAGATCATAGATTAGTAAAAAGCACTATTGAAATAAGAAAACCAACGTACTTAACACAAAAACCTTCCACTACGGTTGTCCAGTGTCCTGAGATAAAACCGATACCTTCTTCTGTTGACTCAAATTCTATAGCTAGCGTGATTTCAAAAATATCAGAACTAAATAAATGTCCAGTAATAATAAAAAATGTTACAGTACCAGATTACAGCCAAATTAAAGTAGAAACACGTAACCCGATTATATCACAAATACTTAAACCTACCGAAATTGCACAAAAATCATTTTTGCCATTCATAGAGAAATCTTCATTTTCAGGTGATATTTTAGGAATGAATCAAAATCCAAAAGAAAATGACAAAATAAAAGAAATACAACAACTGCCAAATAAATTTACGGGAAATTTGTCCGAAAAAAGTGTTACGGATATTATTAACATTAGTAGTGAAACAAACAAAAAAGAAAAATGTATTACTCAACTTGAACAACATCAAAACATAAAAATTCGTAAACCAACATATATAACACAAAAATCAGTTTGTCCTCCTATTAAAACTATTTTAGAAAGTGGACAACACAGTGATAAACAAAGTATAACAATACAACCTGTCCAGAAACCACCAGAACAAATAATTCAAATAACATCGACTACTACATCACATTTGCTATCACAAAAGCAACATTCTTTAAATTCTAACGAAAACAAACTTGGTATATTGCCATCATTGGCAACGTCAACATCTTCACCAATTATATCTCGAAAAGATGTGGTGAAAATTGGTTCATGTCATCCATCCACAACCAAATGTATGAGGTTAACGGATATTCCATCGGAATCGAATGAAGATGATTTAATAATAGAACATGCAATGCGTAGTCTTTTAGAACAAGATACTGAATTAGAAATAGGTAATGCAGATTCTACAACGGTTGCACATAAAAGTCAATCCACAAAAACATTATGCAATACAACTCAAAAAAGTGATGGAAATAGTGATAGAATTGTTTTAAAAACAAGCACAAAATCATTGACTCCAACCTGCAATACTTCAAAGGATTCTTCAAATTTTAATACACAGCGTTTATTTGATTCAAAAGATTCAAATTTTAAATCCAGTTGAAAAAATTTTTCAACATAAATTTTACTTTTAAAAAAATAAGATTTTCATAGAAAACAATAAGATAAATAAATACAATTAAGTTTATTATAAAATTAATAAATAGCTAAAATATATTATGTTCTTTAAATGTAATAATAATTTTTAAGAGATATTTGAAAAAAAAAAAGTAAATTATATTAAAGTAAAACTTCTTTCTTAAATATATGTAATCATATATTGTATAACTATATTCTGCAATAATCATGATTAGATCAACATGAAAAAATTATTAAAGTTTTGAATTGATAAACATAAAAACTTTAAGATTTAAATTTAAGTAAAATGCTATATTATAAACTATAAAATAGTTTTAATATGTTATTTCTTTTTTATCTACTAAGATATTCCAATTGAAAATTAGGTATATATTTGTATAATTTGGTATATAATTATTTTATATAAAATTAATCATAATTAATTGGTGCTTTTAAGGAATTTAAGCACAGGAAACTTTGTTTTATTATTATCTTTTTCGTTTTCTGTTTCAAAAGAATGTTTTCCAATAAATTTTGTTTATTTTAATTACATATTGGATTTTTTTTTTATAAATAAGTTTTCTATTATAAATTTTATTGTATGACTGTTTTATTAACAATTTTATAGAAATAAATTTATTTTGTTAAATTATTAATATAAAACTATTATATAATAATAATAATACTATAGGAATAAATATTAGAATACAGAGCTTTTTATGTTGTTGCTTTACCAGTAAAAAATTTTTGTTCGAAAAGAAAAAATTTGTCAAAAAAAAAAAAAAGGTGAATGAAATTAAATTTGAAAGCATATGAAATAATATTCTATGAATTAATTAAATATAATATGTATTATATTAAATAAATTACCTTTTATTAAATATTGTTGAAGTAAATCTATATAATAAATATATCAATATCTTGAACAAAACATATTTGTTTATAATATTATAAAATGATATAATTTTTTTTTTTATTAATTATATTTTTTTTTTTAAACTTTTTTATATGTGCAATTCTATATAATTCAATACAAGTGCATTTATTTTATTAATAAATTTTCATTTATTAAAAATAAAAAATAAACAAAAATAAATAAATTTCTAGCAATAATATTTCGACACCGAATTGATTACATTCATATTTTTAATTAATTCCTTCTTTGTTTTTTATACAATTTTTTATGCATTAAATATTTTGAATTTAGTAAAAATTAAAATTAAAAAAGTACTTTTATTTAAATATCACTATTGAATTTTATTATATACCAACACTGGAAATTTTGCAGATTAGTTTACAATTTTAGTACATTAATGAATTTCCAATAATGTACTAAAATATTTTGTTGATAATTTAAAAACTCAAAAAGAGTCCAATATCTACTTAATTTTACTCATATTTTTGAGAGAAATTTTAAGTATTATATACCATGTTTCTATCTGTAATGGTGTTAATGCTAAATATAATATTGAAAGAAATAGAGAAATTACAAAAGAATAGCATGCAGAACAAATGGTAAAAATTACAAGAAAAAAAAAATAAAAAAATAAAAAAAAATATACATATCTGTAATATATTTCTGCAAAATGTTAAGGTCGGTTATTTCTTAAGAAATCTCTTTGAGTGAGTGATTCTTCTTCTTTTTTTTAACAAACAAAACACAACAAGCAAACAAAATACTCCAGCGTGTCTATATCTATATGTTATTTTTAATGTTGGTTTGCGTATTTCTATATCTATGAAAACAATGAATAATAAAAAAAAACTAAAGATTTCTTGCAGGCAAAATTAATTTTCAGGTCAGTATCAAATGAGAAACTGCTTGAATAAGTCGTGTTCGCTGTTAAATTAAAGTATAAAAGAGAAGTTAAATAAATATTTTCTTTAATCGTTTTAAATCTTAAAATTTATTCTTAATTTATGTGTTTATATATGTGTACATTGGAATTTACATACCTTTAAAATTACATATACACTCAAACGTATTATTCGATATTCTGTTTTTTTTTTTTTATTATTCTTAAAACTTTCTCCAGAAAATTTCGTTTCAAAGTGAGATTTTTTTTTTGTTTTTGGTTTTTTGTGTAGAAAAAACGATCATATAAAACTCGATCAATGAAAAATATATTAATTTTTTTCTTAAGTATATTCTAAAAAAGAATATCGAATTTGGGAAGTGATCTTTGGAGAAATTTATTTTTACAATATTTGAAAAGAAAACAAGAAATATAATTTAATATAAATTATATTTGTTATAAATAAATAATAATAGCTAAATAAAAATTCAAAATTGATACTATAAAATTTTTATAGTAATTTATAAAATAATTAAATAAAGAAAGAAATTTTTTATTACAAAGAAAAGTCCTTAAATTTTTTTTTTTTATTTGTGTAAGAAATAAAATTAATGAAACAAATTTCTAATAAATTTAAATAATATTTTATAAATAAAGAAAGAAAATTATAATTTTATAATAATCAATTGAAATATTAACTGGAGTAACAATGGAATATTTTACAGCTAAAAGAATTTTTATTTCAAGAAATGTAAGTGACCTAAATATTTAACTAAATTTTATTATTCACTGTGTCAGTAAGATAACAATGATAATTTTGTTTAAAAATTTCTTAGTCTTTACAAAAAAAAAAATTTAATTTCAATTTATTATTATTCCATAAAGTTTTGAAAGAGTCAAATTTAAATTATATGTTAGATGGTAAATAATTAAATTATGTATTCCTTTCCTAACCGGAGTTCAATTACATATTTAAATATTTGCCTCAATGATTTATTACTTATTTGTAAATGAAAGATTATTGGAAATTATTTTATTTAATAATGATATTCTGTTAATCGTATAATTTCACGTGATAGATGGTTATTCAAAAATTTTTTGAATTTTAAAATTCTATACTCAAAAACCCCAAATACATACTTTTCAATAATATACAATTGCATTAAGTGGTGTGACTAACAGAATATTAGGATGATTTGTGTTTTGCAATTATTAGGAATTATACTAGGAAGGTTGAGGCACATATGAATAAGTACTCAAGAAAAGGATGTTTAGTTACAATAATTGAAGTATTATATTACAATGAGGATTTTTTTTTGAGAAATTTTACAAAAATTTTAAGATACATAATACTTTGAGCATCTATATTAAATTTTATAATGCATTAAATACAATATTATTGCAATATGGTGTTTAGAATACTCTTATGTTTGTCATTCATTACACAATTAATTCAACGATTTATTAAAGTATAAAATAAACTTACTAAAGTACAATTTACTAAACTTTCAATTACTAAAATTCAATGTGATTTATGTTATTAATTAAATGTTCAGGGAAATATAAATCTATTTCATAATTCATTTTATTTTCATATATATTATTATTATATATATATATATGAATATATATAATTTTACGGATATGAAATCGATTTACAAAAATTGCATATTTTTTACGTAAAAATTTTAATTTCCATATTTGTTTTAAATTTCAAATTAATTTATTTAGGTAAAATAACAATTATTTAAATATGATATGTAGATAGAATAAATGATCATTTTATATATTTTTTAATTAATATTTTTAAATAGATGTATGTAGGTGCTTAAATGAATTACAGATTATCTACACATACTTAAAATGTATTGGAAGGCATAAACATATTGTATTAGCCACAGGTATTAGGTACATATTGTAAAACGATGTAATTTTCAATGAATAATTAAGAAAAGGTGAAAAAGATTTAAAAAGAAAAAATACAAGAAGAAATAAAAAAAAAATGTCTCTTAAAATTAAAAGGTTATGCATAAAACCTAGTTCTTATATTTTTGTAATACAAGTGAGTTGTTCACGCATTGAAGTCTTTCGTTTTGAATTTATTTTTTTTTTCTTAATAAATTCTTGTAAATTGTGATTGTTGTTTTTATTTTCAGTTCTGTTTTTTTTTTCTGTACCCTCGTTGTTATTGTTTTAAAGGTCAAGTTATTGGAACTAATTTTAAAGTAGTTTTTTAATTTGCTTTTTGGTTTTTTTACTTTAGAACATGATCGTGTTTAATACCCATCATGAGTTTCATCTTCATGTAATATTCTTTTATATGTGAAACTTTACATTTATTTTTTTTTTTTTGTGTTTGCTCTTTAAAATTTTTATTTTAAAAGAAAATTGTAGGTATAATAAAAGATACTGTCAAAGTCGTTCAACAAACCGATTTCAAGCTTTATTGTTCATGGAAAATGGACAAGTTTTTTTGAGATCAAATAAAAGAACGTATAAAAAATAAATAATAAAGAAAAAAAGAAACGTGTTTTTTCGTTTGTTCTTTATTTTTGGTTTTTATTTTTAGGCTTATGTGATGAAAAAAATTCTTAAACGTTTATTCGGAATCTTAGAACAAAATAAAATTACAAAAAAAAATTAAAAAGAAAAAATTAAGTACAGAAAAGTATTTTCAAAAGAAAACAACCGTTTTTGGTACTGTATAAATACAAAATATATTGACATAGACTATACAGAGCACATATACGTAAGAATTACACAGTACACATGTATGTTATTCTTACATTATTCGTATTAAATATACACATAATATGTTACATTATATAAAAAGAGCACCTATTCGGAGGCATAATACTTGTACGAGTATGTATAACTAGATGTGTAGTAAATATATTTAAACATTACACACGTCTTTACAATTTTTTTTTTTTTGTAGTTTAAAAGCGAAGATGAGAAAATCATGAAAATATTTCCTTTTTCGCTACTTTATATTAATTATTTAAAAAAAAATATATTTTATACACATAACTATAATAAATAATATTCTTTGTATTTATTATGTTTCTATATACAATTATGGTCATAAATTATTGAAAAATTTACAATTTTTTTTTTTTTTTGATAACAAGTCTTTTTATCAGTTTTCGGTTGTCTTTGAGCTTCTTCATTTGAGTAATGTAGAGTAATATTGAGCCTTATTCTAGTTGTCGAAGTAGAGCGACAATTGTTGTCACGACTTGAATTTGATATTCTAAATGGCGATTAAAGTGACACGTGTCGTGTAATAGCGGGAAAATGTGTTTCAAGTATATTCCAGTTGTCGTTGTAGAGCGACACATGTCGTAGTGAAACGACGTTTTTTTGTCGAAAAGTATTTAACAAGTGACAAGCGAGATGGATACACCAAAAATGTAAGTTTAAACAAGACAATTTAATAAAAATATAAAAAATAATAAATTTTGTAATTTAATACATAAATTAAACCATATAATATATGATTTGAAAGTCTGTAATAGCTTATAAATCTGTGAATAAAATAAAATGTTTGTAACTAATGTATTTGAAAAAATTATTATCTTACACTCCATTTGGCAAATCCAATGGATTAGAGCTGTCCCTAATCTTAAATCTTTTGATCCTTAATTGTTGCTTTTTTTCAATTTCATCATTCTCGGAGTCTGATGAATCCATAAACCATAATGCAAATGACGACATTTTTTATTTCCCTCGTATTTAAAAAAATAAATATATACCCCGAATTTTTTTTTTTAGTTTGAACTTTACTCGCCAAAATTTCTTTTTAAAATGTATCAATTTCACTTGAAACGTTTCATTTTCGTTTATTTCTCGCAGTCACGTCACTCGACAACTAGAATACCACATTTCAAATGATGTGACAACGACAACGACAAATGTCACGTAAGTGACGCGACAACTAGAATAAGGCTCATTGTATGTACGAGTTTAAAATTTCAAATTCAAATATTTAAGTTAAGGCTGAATTCATAAGCATATTATAAAGCTATTTACATACATATATAGCTATATAAACTTATAGATATTTTTTCAATTCTCATATAATTATGGGTCTTAATTCTGATATAAATAAGACTTTAATAAGAAACATTTAAAATATTAAAATCTAAGTAGTTTTTATAACAAAGTGTTTTAAAATAAGTGATTAATTACTAAGTATTTGGTATTTTATATTTTTATTTTTAACAGTTTACGCTTGATTTATTCCAGTTGTTAATTTCAAATTTGGCTCAATTTTGTTTAACATTTAAAAATATAGAGGCCCCAGCATTCGAATATTTGAAATTATTTTCTTAACATAAAAAAATTTCTTATTATTTAGAAAATATTAACCAATTAGGAATTAGTTTATTGTACAATTAATTTTACGTTTTTAACCTGTAAAAATTAATTGTCAAAATTATACGATTTGACAATTCTAGATTATTTAGTTTAGGCGTACATAGAAACCACCACTTAACCATCAAAATTTTAAATTTTATTTAAATATTCTCTGCACTTTTCTTTCAATTTGAAAACAAGAACCTTGTGTCATTTTCACTATATTTACGTTATACGACTTAATTGGTATAATGTCGCGTCGCTTTTTTTATACTGTTTTATTTACATAATATAGAAGAGTTTTTCATCACCTTACTTAAAGTTTATCAAACTTTTGATTTTTTTTTTGTGTCAATTACTGTACGCATTTAAATTATTTCATTTCAAATTATTATTTTTCTAAATAGAACGGAATATTTTCTTACATGTTTTATATGTTTGCGCCTGTAATATGTTATGTTATGATATATCCGCATCATAATATATCATATATCATTTTCAGATATACATATATACATATATACATATATACAGTGTACAATATCATTTATATTATATTATAAACTTTGAAATTATAGTAGACTGGTTACTTGTGGTTAATTTAAACGATTTAATAGTTTTTTTTTATGTTTACCTTTCCACCGTTTTTTTCGCAAATAATTAAGTAAATAAATAAATAAATAAATTTAGAAAGAGTGTAAGAACTCTCTAATGATGGTTGATTTTGTATTTATATTATTTTTTATTTAAAAAGAAGTCTTTAATGATCATTTTTTACCAGTTTTTGATCTTTAATGATCTTTCTATATTTATATATACATATATTGTTAAAGTTAAAATAATAAAATGAAAATTTTACACATACATATGTACGTAAGTACACGTCTGAACGTACAGTATAAAAACACATTCTTCATAATTAACATTTAAAGAATCAGAACAATATAGGAAAAATTTTTTAGACAATATTAATAATGGTGTTAATAATAATTAATAAGACATTTTTAATATTTTTAATGATATCAGAGTTCAAAAGTGGTAAGAAAAGTTCAATAATTCGTATTATATATTTCATATATTAGTAAGAAAATATAAATGGTCAAGTGAAGATCAAATCTCGATATTTATAGTGTCAAGTAGAAATTCGGTTAGTAATTTATTATTAAAAATATTTTATTATGTTTAATTGTAATTACTTATTTATTTATATAAAATTTCACAAAAAATTATTTAAATATATATTTTTTCCGACTATAGTTTCGGCTTTTATGTCATCCTTAGGGAACTAAGTATTACTAAGTATTTCAGGTAGTAAGTTTTGTATTAAAATATTTCGCATAATAATAAAAAAGGTATCCGCAAATTTTTTTGTTTTCAGTCTGCAAACTGTCT